CTGTCATCCTCAGGCCCTGAGCACTGCAGTGGGGACCAGGGAAGGTGGGACCCTCGGAGCCTTGAAGCATTGGGCAAAAGGGAGCAATTGTGTCAGATGCAGGACACAGTGTGGACAGGACACTGCTGAGGTGGGGGAGCTGGGGTGCAGGCACCTCCCCTCTGTCCTCACAGGCTTATCTGTGGTTCTGCATCTGATATTGACCCACCCCACGTGTGTGCCTGCCCCCCACTGTCAGGCTCTGGCTCTTAGGGGCACTTTCCTCCCACTGGTTCAGGAAGCCCAACTCCCAACTCTTATGAACAGAAATAACACCTACTTAAGGCCATTCTGCTTCCCAGAAAGTCTAGGACACTCCTCAGAGCTCAGTGAAAATGATTTCGGGGGATTATCCAAAGCCCTGGTCCCTCATTCACTGGCAGGGGGAGATAAGCCCACGTCGAGTGGCATGTGTTTGCTTTCCACCTCTCCAGGGGATGCTGCAGCCATCATCGTGCCTGCCCCCATATCAGCCTCTGAGCAGAGAAGAACCAGGGGGGTGCAACAAGGTTTAGAGAGGGGAGTCCATTAGGACAGCTGGGGAGATGGGCTGGGAGCTGCTGGAAACGGGAGCTCCTCCCTGCTGCCCTCCTGCAGCCTGTCCCCTTTCACCAGGGGCAGCAGGCTAAGCACCTGGGCATTGGAGCCTTTTCCACTGAACTGGGCAGGCCTGGGCCTCCCTTCTTCACAGCACAAAAGCACTCCCTCTCCGTGGCCTTCTAGCTGCTTCCCCACCCCCCTTGGAAATCTCCACCTGGGGTTTCCGTTTCTTCCCACCCACTGGTACATCCATAGCCCACCATCTGCATCCCTAACCTACCCCTGATGCTGCTCTGGCAGAGGTGAGCCCTTGCTAATCTTCACACGACTGGGACCTCTTGGCAGTACATGGCCCTGTGGCCCAGTCCCTCTTCCCTTATGGTTCCCCACACCCACTGGTTCTCCTCCCCACTTCCTTACAGGGCACTTTCCTGCTTGGCTCTCTCTTCCTCTGCTCACTACCTTCTTAGAAGGCTGGTCATGTTGGGGTCTTTCCTCCCCTGCCTCTTACTTGCACACACGTTTGCCTGCTGGGAACCCCCCCATGCTGGTCAGGTGTCTGTCCCCTACTCTCTATTCTTCCCACTCCATCCCTTTCTTAGACTTAAGCATCACCTTCGTGAGGGTCAGCATCACCTTCAGGACATGTTTCCAAGGTTGCCATCAATCCCTGAAGTTGGCATATAAGGCCATTCTTGATCCGACCCCTCTTAACCTTTAGCTTTCACCCCCTCCATTCACACTCTACACCATTGGTCTCCCAAGTGGAGACAGATAACACACTTGGGTACAGGGAGAACTTACTAGAATCTCTACTACTATTTTTACCTTAAAAACAAAAGGCAAAATAAAGCTTTGACAAATATTTACTATATATAGACAGTAGTACATGAATGAAATTTGTGAATAAATAAACTGAGGTGGGTATACCAATAAAAGAGCTGATGACACTGTCCGACATCAACCTTTCCAGGGAGATCCAACCTGTGGTCTGCAGGCCATGTGCTGAGTTTGTGACGACTGTTTTGCTTATTTGTGGTGTTGGATATCAGGAAAAGTATGCACAACCTTTTTTTATTATTAAATCATAGCTGTGTACATTAATACAATTATGGGGTACAATGTGCTGATTTTATATACTATTTGAAATATATCAAACTGGTTAACATAGCCTTAACCTCATTTTCTTATCTGTAGCCTTTATATATACCAACAATAGTTAAGCTAAAAAAACAGTCAAGGGCTCTATTCCTTCTACAGTAGTGCCAAAGATGCTCCTTCTCCCCACCAGGATGAAGCCAGCTGTGAATAATAGCATATCCAAACAAGTAGCTTAAAGAAGCTATAAGTTTGTCATTCTTCCATATAAACTAAGTCTGGAGGTAAGCAGCTCACAGAGAGCATGGCGGTTCTAAAGTCAGTCTGAGATCAGACTCTTTGAACTTAACGTGTTTTGCCCTTTTCAACTTATGGTTTCCAGTTCCTGTCTCAAGATGGCTTAAGCTCCAGCCATAACATCAGCATTCCAACCAATAGAAAGAAGAAAGGAGTAAAGAGAGACATGCCATTCACACTTTCAGGATACTTCTGATTAACAGAGATAATAAGTGACATTTATTAATGGTAAAGCAATTACTCCACCAGAATCCTATCACAACTCCAAATCTATTTGAACACCATAAAATATCTGCAGGATATATGAATCAAAAACTTAACAGGTTCAAATGAGGGATAGACAAATTCATGGTCATAGTGGGAGTCTATAATAAGCCTTTTTCAATAGTCAATAAAAGAAGCAGACACAAGATCTGTAAGGATATAGAAGATGTGAAAAGTTCAGTTAACAAATTTGATCTAATTGACTCATGTAAAAATTCTGTATCCTGCAGCGGTAGGATTCACATTCTTTTCAATGAACATGAAACATACGAAAAAAAGAGAGAGAGAGAGATACCTCTAAGAAGTTGCATATACCACTTCATTCTTTATACTGTTTGCCTGCCAACAGTTAATCCTGGCTACGCCTACCAGAAAGGGAGGCTGACAAATGTCATCTGCTTCAGGTAGCCAAGTACCCAACTGCAATTGAGGGGTTTTATTCCTAAAGAAGAGGGAGAGAACAAATATCAGGGAAACAAACAGTCTCTGGCCTTCACTTCCTCCGTCCCTGGCAGCTGTGGTGCTGACAGTGCATAAAAACCCAGGCCCAGAGGCAGAGGCTCTTCATTCAGCTCTGAGTTGCCATTTATTTGGTGTGTGTGACTTTAGACAGGTTGCAGAACCTGTCTAATCCTCAGTTACCTTACAAAATGGGAATAATGCTACTTCACAGGAGTATTGAGGAGATGGACCAAAATAATGTGTGCAAAGTGCTTGGTCCTGCGCCTGGCACATAAGTATTCAATAAATGCACAGAGAGGTTAAGAAATTTGCCCAAGGTCACCCAGTAAATGGCAAGGCTAGCTTTTAGATCCAGGCATCTGGCTTCTAGCTGGTACTGATACTTCTTCAGGGCCTCTGCCACCCCAGCACAGTATCCCACACATGTGGATGCCATGGGGGAAGGAGCGCTGAATAGTGGGGGATGGGAAACTGCAACTACCAATTAGCCTTGTGACTTTAGAGAAGTCATTTTAAAATGTATCTTGAATTAGACATATTAATTTCCTCATTCCTTCTGCAAAAGGTTGAATTAAATGAACCAAGGATGTTCCTACCCCTGGCATTCTCCGTTCTATCTTATCTACCACCACTGGCTAAGATTTTGCCATTAGGAATACATTTCTTTTTGTTGAGTCCCATCTTCTGCCTGGAGTTCTTTTGTAAAAATAAAGTTTTCCTTTCCAACCTGACCCCTCGGTTTGGGTGTGTTAATCAGGCCCCTTTGCTGCCGGTTGAAAGATAGTTCTGTGGCAGGAGTTTCATACGCCAACAAATTGTCAACTTACCGAAGGCCCGCGGGGGCTGAGAGGACCCTGCACCCAGCATCTTGTCAGGGCCGACTGCACAATAGCTCCTATTCGATCGCCTGGCTGACCCCTTTATCACCATTTTTAACAGGCTTATTTTTTTTCTCCTTCTATATTTCTTCCACCACACTGCCTCTCAAACTAAATTGGAGAAAAATGGGTTTTGTCTTTTTTTAACAAGAAGACTAAAGTCTTAAATTACCTTCTTCAAGCTCTGCAAATAGAAATCCCAAATAAGACAGCCACCTTTTCTTTCTCTCTTCCTCTCTCTCTGTCTCTGTGAGCCCAGGAGCTTGAAATAAAAGGCAGAGCAGTGGCTCAGAGAAAGTAATTTGGGCTTGGCCCAGCACCAGCCAAGGAGATGAGAGCGGGATGAGAGGAGGGCCCAGTGGGGGGTTGGGGAATGATGGAGGACAAGATGGAAATGGCAAAACCAGTGCCTCGTGGCTGCTTATGGTTCTGAAATAAAAGAGATTTGCAAAATGGGGATGATTTCTTAAATAGCCACTGTCTCTGAGGGTGGGGGTGCAGATACCCAAGGATACGCAGAGCTCAAGAAGAAGAAGGAACTTCCAAGTCTTCAGACTCACTGAAGTTCAGATGGGATGAGAAGCAGGACAAGCGGGACAAAGACTGAAGTTTTAGGACTAGAGTCCTAAGTTCTCGTCCCAGCTCTCTGACATGTAATAATAATGGGTAATGTTTACTGATAAGGAATATGTGCCCAAACTATGTTAAACACCACGCATGGAGCATTCCGTTCAATCTTCAAAGCAACCCTATGAAAAGGGTATCATTATTTCTGTTTATGGAAGGGGACCCTGAGGCATGGGAAGTCATGTAACTTGGCCAGAGTTGGCTGGTGACAAATGTGGATTTGAATCCAGGGAGTCAGACTCCAAAGACTCTTGCACTTCTTCCTGCCAAATCACTGGTCCTGTCTAGACCTGCTTCCTCACCTAGAGGCTAAAGTGCAGGAGCTAGGTTGGCGGGACTGGGTGACCCGTGAGGTCCTTTCTGGTGCAGATGCTATGACTTGAGGTTCATGCCACACCTGTGGATGCAGAGTTCTGTTCACATGATACAGAGTACAAACTTCCAGTGAAGGGCCAGCCTGCTGAGCATGCATGTGGTGGGGTGTGTACAGGGTAGCTGAACTTGTATCTGAAACACAGATGAGATGAAAAGAGCCAGAGCAAAATCTGTGGAAGACTTGTAGGTTAGAGCTTTGTCAAGAGGATAAAACAGAGGTCCAGAAAGTTCTACCCAAATCCATCTCCACTTGGTGTCCAAAAGCCTTTGCGGTCCTCTGATCTTTGCTCCTCGTTGCACATCCACAACCTCCGCAGGCTCTTTGAAGGGAGCCCTGCCGAGCTGTTCTGGCTCTGGGAAGGACAGGTGTTTCTCTAGGGTCCCCTGGCCCAAAGCATGTTTGTCTCCTCTGCAGGCCCAGTGACCATGGCCCATTACAAGGCGGAGCAGGACGACTGGCTGCTTGTCTACCTGAAGTATCTCCTCTTTGTCTTTAACTTCTTCTTCTGGGTAAGTGAATTCTACACACACATCCCCTTCCCCGAGCACTGAGTGAGTCAGGCCACCTTTGTTTCTTGTGAGTCACCACTTTGAGGTTGATTTCTTCCAAATCAAAGACCACCCGTAGGCAAATTCAGCCTACTTTAAAGAAAATATGTACATTTGCTACTGAGGGGGAAGAAAAGAATCTAGTCTGCTGGTTGGCATGGAGTCGGTAGCGCACGGCGTCTGAATAGAGGCACAAACATCACAATAAGCGTTGCATCCTAGCTCTCTGCACAAAGGGGCCGGTCGGTGCCTTCCTCCCTGCTCACCGCTGCACCAGTGCCTTGTAGGAAATGGGTCTGTCTGAAATAATGGCTTGTTTTCCACCACAGCCCATTTGCCTCTCATGCTTCACATTCTCCAGGCCCAGGGCAGAGGAACAGAAGTCCTAGGGGCTCAAGCTGCTGGTGCCTGCCATGGAAATGGTCTCTATAGCGACCCCCCTCAGCAAGCCTGTCTGGTGATATATTCCAGAGGAGTATGGAGTCTGTCCACTCCAGGCAATTATCTGAGTAATTGGGAGCAGAATACCAGCCGTTCCCCAAAATAGCCAGGCACTGGAATGTACGTGTTTGCATGACAGTCTCAGTAAATGTGGGAAGGTAAGAAAATATTAAGAGTGCAGTCATTGCAGTTGGCTGGACCTCGGCACTGTCCTCTGCTAATGGTGTGGCCTTGGGCAACTTCCTTAAGTTCAAGGAGTCTGTTTCCCCAGCTACAATTCAGAGATATTTTCTAACCTGTTGGGATTGCATTCAATAAGTGCAGTATTTCGAATAGATCAGATGTCAAAATGCCTGCAAACGCCAACTAACTGATCTACGGAAAAGACAGAGCTGGCGTCCCACTTACCATGGTCGGGGGAACTCTCCCTTGACAGAGTCTTAGAAGCATCTCAGGAAGGCAAACACAAAAGTGGGATGTGTCTGAGTTTTCAGGGTCTTTCTCATGGGGGCTTGGTTAAGAATGAAAAAACCCAAGACACAGGAGTTCAGGACGGTGGACACAGCAAGACAAGCATTTTGAAGAGTCTAGGAGAATAGCTGGCCATCAGATGCTATCTATTAAAAAGTTGAACAATCTAATGTTTGTTTAAATGTTGGTTGCAAAGTTCCTGAAATGAACAATAAAGTTATTTGCAACTTTTATCTCCATGGGCAAGAGTTTCCTGGAATAGTGAAGTCCTGGTGATGAAGACAGTAGTAGGATAAAGCAGTGTTGACAGAGTCAACTGCGGGGTGTAGACAGTTTCAATTCTCAGAAGCAAATCCAACCTGGTACTTGGGAGTCTTAGTGAACATTTCTTTTTAACAATAACTATGTTTTCCCTGATCATAAAAGTCTTAAGTGTCTACTGATAACGTCTAAAGTACTGAAAAGGATTAGAAAAATAAAATTGCCCATAGCTCACTATGTTTGTTTCCTGGGGCTACCATAACAAAGTGTCATCAAGTGGGTGGCTTGAACAATAACAAGTTATTCTTTCTCAGTTCTGGAGGCCTGGAGTCCAAGTCCAGGTGTCAGTAGGGCCAGGCTCCCTGACACTTTAGTAGACTCTTTCCTTGCCTCTTTCAGCCTCTGGTAGCAGCTGGCTGATGCTGGCACTCCTTGGCTTGTGTCTCCACTACTCCAGCTTCCTCTCAGGGGTCCCTGTCTTCCCAGGTCATTTTCCTCTTCCTGTAAGGACACCAGAAAGAGGAAAATACCACAGGTGGTCATTGAACCACCCTTAATGACCTCCTCTGACTTGGTTACACCTGAAAAGATCTTACTTCTGAATCAGGTCGCATTCACAGGTACCAGGGGTAAAGATTTCAACATGTTTTTTCGGGGGCACAGTTCAACCCCGTACCACCAAGAACAGCAACTATTGAGATTTCTCTGGACTCTGCACTGATGAGGGCAGGAGATGGTAGTGACCTGTGGGAGTGACAGTGAAGGATCAAAATCTTTGGAGTGAGTTGAGGGATTTAGGAAGTGAAATTGATAAGATCAGGTCAGAATTAGATGGGCTGAAAAGGAAGAGATGTCTGGGATATGCAGTTCCTGAGTGGATGGCAGAGCTCCTTACTATAACAGGAGGCCAGAGAGAGAAATGTGGAGTCAGATGGCGAGGTCGGGTGGAGGTGTGATGAGTTTCAGGGGCCCAGAGACCCTTTGTGGGCAGTGGTTCTCAACCTTCCTAATGCCACAGCCCTGTAAAACAGTTCCTATGAGTCACAACCCACAGGTTGAGAACTGCTGCTCTAGGGTCTGGATCTCAGGAGAGAGCTAGGCTGGCACTCTGGACTCGGGGTGCATCCCCACCCAGATGGCAAGGATAGCCCCAGAATTAGATGAGAGCCTCTGGGAGAGCAGGGGGACTGGACAGAGAGGAGACGCAGGAAGGAAATGTGGGCAGCCCCTGGGCCAGGGTGAGTCTAGGGTGACCTGCAGTCCCACTTTGTCCTGACTAGGATGAGGGTCCCAGGGCTGTGGAACCTTGAGTGCTAAAATAAGGGAAGGTGGAAGGGTGAGGAAACATCAAGTCTTCTAGGGCCTGGGAAAGGCCACTGGGCTTAACAGCAAAGATTGGCAGCTGTGGGGAGAGCACTTTCAAGAGAGCAGTGAGCTGGGGTGTCTAGAACGTGGACTCTGTAGACAGAGCCAGCTGGGCGTGAGAAGACAGCTGGGCAGTAGCTGGTGAGGCCGGAAGGTTGCTGGCTCTTGGTTCCTAGGGCTGTCATGAATTGTTTGGACCAAAAAACTTGTGGAAGGGCCTGCCAAGGCCCTGTAGGCAGGTGTGGGCAGTAGCCCTGGTGACCCCATCAGGAGTCCCTCACAGCCAGAGCAGACTCAAGCTCTGTTGTTCAGAGTTTGAGTCTTTAGGGTATGGTAAGGAGAAGGCGTGTGGGTGGCAGCTTGGGCAGGTGGGCATCGAATGTGTCACCAGAGCAGCCAGCAGCAGTGAGGCATTCCACCAGGCAGATCTCCCTACTTCCAGTTAAAAATACCCCTGCCTTGGGGCCTGACTGGCTGCAGACCAGTTTCTGAGGGACCCAGTCAACCCTGGTGGGTCATGTGTAGGCCTCAGTCTCCTGTCCTGGCATCTGGTCCCCCGGACTTGTTGCAGTCTCCTTAGTAGACACAAAGTACACTCTGACTCGTCTCCTCCTAAGGCACCACCCCAAAACCCCAGGAAGGGGGTGTTGGCCAGTGAGGACCCCCTCCCCAAGAGAAGGTTCCCTCCCACATAGACACACCCCAGAGTTCTCCAGGTGTCAGGCACATAGCAGTACCTGTGTCTACACCGCCCCCCCATGCCAGCCACCTTGTCATCCTCTTCATCAAAGCCCAGCCCAGAGGGAGGGGGAACCCAGGTCTGTCTTGTGTGGTCGCAATGCCCAGCATTTGGGAGTCTTGGCTGGATAAAGACCTTGCGTGGTGACCCCACACCATCCTCAGACTAACCTGAGGGTCTGTGTCATTATTATCTTCACTTTGCAAATAGAGAAGAGACCCTTATGGGTCCAAAATCTTACCCAAGGTCACATACTGATCACCAAGCTCTTACTAACACCAGGTGAGGGATAATAATGACAATTTACAAATTCATCTCATCATTTTGATTAAGCACCTGGCAAGTATCCAGGTGGGCCTAGGCACTTGGGATACACCAGGGATCAAAGCTCCCTGCTGTCCTGGGACTTCCCACTGTGGGCTTCCTCTGTGCTTATCCTGTTAATCCCCCAGAACCCTGGGCGGTGGAGCCCTCTGTGAGTGTGCCAGGCTTTGCCCACAGTCCCAGAGCTGCTCCCAGCACTCTCTGGCCCCAGGCCTGTGCTTGGCCACCACACTGTTGGCCCAGGTCTGAGTCCTGCACTTTTCTGTGGAGTCTTTGCACACATGAATCAGCAAGGCAGCAGGGCATGCTGGGGACTCAGGCTCAAGTTGGGTTCAGATTCAGATTCTAGCCACAGGACATTAGGTGCTACAAACTGAACTGTGTCCTCCTACGCATACCCAGATTCATGTGCTGAAGCCCTAACCTCCCATGTGACTATATTTGGAGACAGCTTGGGGTGGGGGGGGCGCGCGGGAGTAGGTGAGGTTGCACAAGGGTAGAAGGGTTAGATCCTATTCTGGTAGGATTGGTAGCCCTCTGGGAAGGGAAGGCCAGCCCTCTTTTTCCCCACACACTAACACTGAGTAAAGGCCACGTGAGGACACAGCAAGAAGGCAGCCACCATCAGGCCGGGAAAAGAGCCCCAACACGAACTGAATCACCTCGATCTTGGACTTGCCAGTCTCCTGAACTATGATAATAAATTTTTAGTGTTTAAGCCCCCAGTCTGTGTGTTTTGTTACAGCTGTCTGAGCTAAGTCATTAGGCAAATCACTTAATCTCCCCAGCCTCGCTTTTTTCATATGTTAAATGAAAATGCCAAAACCTGTATGAATTAGAGATTAATATTTAGAAAAACATTTAGCATAGCTGATGGCACATACTTGGTGCTTAGCTATTATGTGTTACTATATTATAATTAGACTAATAAGCATCTCTCTAGGCTTTTTAACAGCTTTCTCTGTCCATAACGCTGGAATTATATTTTAATTCTTTTTTTTTTTTTTAGTGCAGGTTATAACCTGCTAAATTTATTTAGGTCACATTCCAAAGTTGGCAAAACCCAAAGCAATGGTCACCTCTACCATTCAACGTGGGTAGGATTCAGCAACAGCAGTTTTTTCTTGCCACCCTTTCCCTGACCCCCCACCTTGCATTTAGATTAACCCCGTGTTAATAGCATGATCCTACTGAGCAAGGAAGGCCCCCATGGCCAGCCCTGGGTCAGAAACCAAAAACACCAGCACTTCTAAATAAGGTGTGGCGCAGCCTAGAGAATGCTTTGCTTCCTCCTCCCTTTTCCTACACGGCTTCCTACAGCTCCCATCACCCCTGCAATGTTGTTCTCTAATTTATTATT